TATATATATATTTATTTATTTAGTTATTTATTATTCTGCACGATTCGGGGGGGGGGGGGGGCGCTCCAAGGCAGTGAATGGAAAGATGTTGCGGTTTAGGGTTTAGGGTATGGGGCTTGGGGTTTAGGGTTTAGGGTTTGGGGTTAAGGTTTAGGGCTTATAGGGTTCAGGCTAAGGGTTTAGGGTTAGCAGCGAAACACCGGCCTTCGTTCCCTTGAGGAGGAGTGCGGTGCTGAGCTGGGGCTTGAGTAGACCTTGCAGTGCTTTTCCATAGGAGTGCTTGGGGTCGTTTCAGGGTGTAGGGTTTTGGGTTTGGTGTTTAGGGTTTAGGGTTTAGGGTTTAGGGGGATTAAGATTTGAGGGTCTCGGGCCAAGGGCCATAGGGCCATGGGGCTTGAGCGTTGAATTGCTTAGAGGGTACGGACAAGATGGCTTCTCGTTTCATCCCGTTCATGGGCTGTTTCGGCTCTTTCGGGTCTGCAGAACCTTTTCCTGCAACAAGTGCACGTTTCCCATCCTTTTGCAAAGAACACAAACTTACCAAAACTCATGGGGGCACTCATTCCAGAAGGGCCCACGTAACAGCATGTATTTGCAGATGTATAAACATGTTTGGAAAACACGTGTCTAACCCAAACCCTAAAATCTAAACCCTATACACCCTATCAACCCTATAAACCCTATGGCCTATACCCGAAACCCGAACCCTAAACCTCAAAAACTATAAATAGGACTAAACCCGAACCCTATAAAGCCTATACCCGAAACTCGAACCCTATTAACCTTAAAGTCTGTAAAACCCTAAACCCTAAACCCTAAACCCTAAACCCTAAACCCTAAACCCTAAACCCTATACCCTAAATGGGACTGAGAGAGGCGAGAGAATGAGCTCCTTTTCGGTGTGCGGTGGCATGTCGCTTGTCGGCGGCTCCGCGGGCTCTTGCTGAGATTTCTGCAACCCCGGCATGTCGGGCTGGAGCGTTTAGGGTTTAGGGTTTAGGGTTTAGGGTTTAGGGTTTAGGGTTTAGGGCTATGCCAAACAAGCTCTGCAGCACTGTCAACACCTAAAGACAAGTGGGCAAGCCCCATGCCAGGACGAGGACACTCTGCACCGTTTAGTCACATAGACAGGAGCGTTCGCGGAAGCCCTTGCAGGCTTGAAATCCAGCCCCCCCACTCCTGCCACAGCGCATGTCAACACATCCGTACCATGGGTTGTTCTCCAAAATACAGCTCTATCAGCTGCAGCATCGCTATACTAACCTAAAATCCTCGGCTAGTTCTTAGTACGGAGTTCGAGTCCCTATGTAACCCTGTACAAATCTTTTGAGGGGGACATAAGGTGTCCGATTCTTGGCTTCCCTACGACACCAGGAAGACTACCCATGCCTAGCTGTCGTCTCAGATGGAGACAGCTCTATCGTCACATGGCGCCAAGAATTCAAACCTTGCTTCCTACAATCTATCTTGCCTCAAAAAGCCCGAAACCCCTATCGTATGGGGTCAAGTTTGGGGGCTTAAGGGATGTAAGCGGGGTTGGGGCTTCGGGTTTAGGAGTTTAGGGCGAATGAACTCTAACAGACTTCTGCTACCAGTACGAACCCTGAGCCTTCAGTTTTCTCGGCGCATGCTTTGTCATAAATCATGGAATCATGGGCGTCTCTGACCATTGCAAGCACATGCTGCAAAGCTGGGAAAGAAGCCCGGTTGGGCGAAGTGAGTCCCCAGTTGAAGCCCCAGGGTTCAGGGGTTTAGGTTTTGGGCTTTGGAGTTCGAACTTGCTTGTTCCAGACGGGGAGTTCTCAAAATCGCGGTCCTTTTTGGGGACCCAAAATGTCAGGGTTATTCGGGGCCGCCTTAAAAAATCGTAACCCAAAAAGGGGCCACATAAATGATCAGTTAGAGTTTCTGACCCTCATGTTCAATCCCTCTGGCACGATCTGAAACTGAACCCGGCCACAGGTGCATCTAGGGTTTAGGGTTTAGGGTTTAGGGTTTAGGGTTTAGGGTTTAGGGTTTAGGGTTTAGGGTTTAGGGTTTAGGGTGCTCATTTCGCAACCTGACGTGTGGCAGTGGTTTGCTCAGCCCGACCATCTGTTTGGAAAGCCCCGAGCCTAAAGCCCCAAATCCTAGGCCCTAAGGCAATAAGGCAACATCGAGGCTCTAAAACCCTAAACCCTAAACCCTCCCAGCCATGGCAGATTCAGCAGCGAGATTGAGATGGCCTTGGGCCACAACCTGTGATACGTTGAAGAAGCGCAAGTCGGGCGTTTCGTGTATGCTTGATGCTTGGCCCCTTAGTATGGGCTCCTTACAAGGGGATCCCTTGTATACCCCCTAGAAAACCCTATACAAATTAAGGGCCCGTACACTCGAACCCTCTGAAGAAGGTCAGGGACTAAAGGGCCCATGAATGAAACTTTACCCTGAGATCGGAGCCCATGAAACTCTACCCTGAGATCGTGCGGGATGGGGGTTGGGAGGGGGGGGGGGGGGGGGGGGGGGGGGGGGGGGGGGGGGGGGGGGGGTGGGAGGGGGGGGGGGGGGGGGGAGGGGGGGAGGGGGAAGGGGAAGGGGGTGCATGATCCTTCGAGTGCCCAAGAGCCCTCTGAGCCCAGAGCCCTAAACCCTAAATCCTAAACGCTAAACCCTGAACAACCTTGTTCATGGTTGCCAAACTGAAGCAGTCCGTGTGCACTCTTGCAGGCCCTTCAATGCACTTCGGCAAACGATCGGAAAAGCTGCGATCAACTTCCATGTGTTAGGAAGTGGGGTTTAGCCATATGGTTGACTGCCCGCAGTCCAGGTTTCGGGCCTGGGAGTTTAAGTTATCAGTATTGTCTTGCGGTTTGCTGGTTTGTTGGGGTGGGGGCTGGGGGGCCTTGACGTTCAGAATGGCCTCTTAACATGCAGTGCTGAAGGTAATGCGTGACTGGGCACTGATTCAGGGCAGCCGGCCTGGTTTGTGCCATGATACAACTAAACCCTCAACCCTAAACCCGAAACCCTAAACCTCCATGACTTACGGCTTCGGGGTTGCAGGGCTGTAGGGCTCGGGGGTTGAGGGATTCGTGCGCCTGCTGGGCTGGTTTGGGGGGCGGGTTTAGGGTGTAGGTTGGGATGTTCCCCCGTATACTAACAGTCCGTTATAGAGGGAATTAGAACCCCGATTCTGGACTGCTAGTGTAAGGGGGAACATACCCTAAACCCTAAACCCTAAACCCTGAAATCCCCAAAAAAGGAGCTGTTAGCATAAGGGGAGCATCCCAAGGTTGAGGGTTCAAGGTTGGCATATTACGGTTTTGGGGTTTTTGCAGCCATTGAGCAGGCTAGTGGCGCCGGGTCCGCCCCCAGCATCACCAAACCAACCGGTTACCCTAAACCCTAAACCCTAAACCCTAAACCCTAAACCCTAAACCCTGAGGTTTCTGGGCGTAAGGGTTTGAGGGTTTTAGGTGTCAGCCAAGGCGTGACTGGAGGATTCGCTGTACGCAAGCGCATTTGGGTCATTCTCCAAACGAGGGTTAGTTCTAAGTTAGGGTCCCCCTCCCCTCCCCTTTGAACAGAACATTGTTTGTGTCTTTGGGGTTTAAACTGGTGCAAAAAAACAGATACACTGTTCTAAAGAGATCATAGAAACGGGACCCTAACTTCAAACAACCCGCAAATGCGGCGCCATTGAGTGGACCGAAAAACCCTGAGGCATAACGGTGAAGGGCCATGACTTGGGTTGTCTAGGGTTTAGGGTTTAGGATTTAAGACTCAATCTTCAACCGCAAAACGTCTTGCAAAAGCAGCAGACAACGGGAAGGGCTTTGGAACAACACAGTTTTTTTTTTTTTTTTTTTTTTTGGGGGGGGGGGGGGGTGGGGGGGGTGTTGTAAACTCTCCCTGTCGTCGGCGTAACTAAACATCCATGAGTCTAACCCTTGTAATTCCAGACGTCCTGTCAAGGCCACTTACCGAACCGTCGAGTCCCTAGCTTGTTGCCCTAAGGATCCATGTACCTATATGGTATATACTTGGGCCATCAAGGGGTTCCTATATGGCTGCTTTAGGGCCCCAGTATGAACTACCCTACACCCTAGACCCTAAACCCTATATAGGTACATGGATCCTGAGGGTTGCAGGTGCCATCCATCCATGGCCTGGCTCACGCTGTGACTTCACTTTCGAATGTGTCACAAGATGTTTGCAGAGTCAAATCCGCGTATGGTTTAGGGTTTAGGGTTTAGGGTTTGCGATTAGGGTTTAGGGTTTAGGGACATCAAAGCAACGTTTCGGTGACGCTTTCCTCTGGCATGTCTCAACTTTTGTATTTAGCGTATGACATGTGGATCAAGGGCCTCGGGCATACTAGCATCCTCGGTGCGTACCATGCATGTCACTCCGCGAGGTGCCGCGAAGATGAACACGGAGACATATAGAAGAAGAAAGTTGAACCTATCGGTGCCTTGTCGCAACTCGGCAAAGAAAAGAGAACCCACATGGCCTTAGATTCCTATTGATGGGGCGTCAGACCTCACAACCAGGAAACATACTGTAAGGTATGCAAGCCAAGCCACACGACAGCAGACGCAAAAAAAAAACACGAGCGAGCGAGCAAACTACCTCCAGCGTCACCTCAAAGCGCCCGAATCTCCTGTGAAGTTTCCCGTTTGACCCTTGAAGTGGCCCACCGGCTCCAGTGTGTTGACAGCTTCTTCTTACCACCTCAAGCATAGTCCCGCTCCTGAAGAAGCTACATCGCCTCCGTTTGCGAAGTCACGTGCAGAAGCCCGAGAGCAAGCTCCTGCTCTCTGCAGCACTTTAGAATTCGGGCTCTGGCTCTGCATCTGCGCACATGGGGTCTTGAACTTCCAAGCAGGGCTCCATTGTAGGCACTCTGGATAAGACTCCCCCTCGGGTCGCGCAAAAGGACCCTGGGTTAAGACCACCCCATGTGGCTGCGCCTTGCAAAGGCGTGCAGCACCCTTCTGGCCCTTGGCATGACCGAGGGCTCACGAGGTGTTTTGCGAGATCCTTGACATCGTGGAGTTGGATCCTTGCTTTGGCGCTTGCACATGTAGGATTTCTAGGGCTCAGGATTTGCCCCGATGTAGTATGAGCATTTACTTGAAAACAAGGCCGGAATGCGTGGAGGAGTGCCTTGCTACGAGGTAGAGAGCGGTAGAGCCGACATATCCTTATAGCCCCAAACCATCAATCTTTGCCCCAGTGCTGAGTGGCTTTCAGTAAGACCCTAAACCCTAAACCCTAAACCCTAAGCCCTAAGCCCTAAACCCTAAACCCTAAACCCTAAGCCCTAAACCCTAAACCCTAAACCCTAAACCCAAAGTAGGAGAATTCGAAGATCGGGCCTTCACTTCCCAAAGCGAAGTGAAGGCAAAACCCTTACCCGCGTCCAACTTGCCGCCCCTAACCCTAACTACCCGAATTACCCGAATTACCCTAATTACCCGAATTGCCGTAATTTATTTAGGGTATTTAGGGTATTAGGGTTTAGGGTTTAGGGTTTAGGGTTTACCCTAATTACCCGAATTACCCGAATTACCCTAACTACCCTAATTACCCTAATTACCCTAATTTCCCTAACTACCCTAATTACCCTAATTACCCTGATTACCCTAATTTCCTTAATTACCCGAATTACCCGAATTACCCTAGACTCTCCCGAGGACTCCGTATCCCTCTCAGGTGCATCAAAGGAGCGACCGACTCGAACGTTTCTGGACATGGTGGAAGAGGTTGTGCCTCCAAGGGTTTCAATGGCACTGGCACCTTGTCAAAAAGGGTTTAGGGTTTTGGGTTTAGGGTTTAGGGTATAGAGGCCCAAGAGTAGCCTAGGAATAGAAAGGGGTGCCCCTTTTTGGTTCAAAGGGGCTTCTACAGGAACTGAAACCACCCAGAGAAAGGGAATACAAGCTAACTCTGCAGGGGTCCCAGGTGCATGGATGGCGGAAAGAAGCCGGAGCCCATGTGGTACTGAAGGGGTTGTCTAAACATGCATGTGCCTGGGTTTAGGATTCGGGTTCAGGTTTTCGGGTTAAGGGTTTAGGGTTTGGGTTTAGGAGGAGGGGAGGAACAGGGGGGCAGGAGGGCAGGGACGGTCTGAAGCTGAGTCTTTCAAAGGCAGGTCCTGACCCTGGTCCCCACCAGTGCCTGCGAATGCGCAGGGGTCGCTGACACCTGCAAGCAGTCGCAGGTGCTGCTTTGGGCCAGAGAGGCTGGATGACTGGGTCAGCCCCCTCTTCCAACGTAAGCCCCAAACCCAAAGCCCGCAAAATCCTACGCCCAGGTTCTCCTCGGTTGCATCATTGCTGGGTGTCAACAAGAACTTTTGCTGCTCCCTTGCAGGTGTTGCTGGTCCCCTTGAGGTGCTGCGCTGCCCTCCAAACCGTCCTGCGCCCGCCAAACCCGCAATGCCCACTCGTGCGCCCACGCGCTCAAATCGGTTTCAGGGTTTGGGCAGGAAGGGTTTAAGCTATGCCCTCCGAAGCCCTGAAGCCCTTCATGCCCTCAGTCAGACCCCACAGCAAGCCGCAAGATGGTGTAAGCCTGAACTAGGTTGCCCAGTAACCTAGGATTAAAAAGGGTGCCCTTTTTGGCTTAAAGGGGTTTAAAAGGGGAACCTAGAGCCCCAAAAAAGGGAATAAGGGCGCTACTGCGCATCCTAGTTAACAACCCTCAATCTTAATCCACAAAAAACCCTAAACCCCAAATCCAAAGCTCATCGTCATGCCTCAGCCTGTGCCCAGGCCACCCTAAGCCATAAACCAACGCCCCAAAGCCTAGCCTGATGTGCGGGCTTACGAAAAAGAGGACCCTTAACATAGACCCCCAAATAGTAGGCTTCCCTTATAATAAGGACCCCAATACGGTACCCCTAATATCGGAAACTCCCATTTCTTGTTGGAGCCAAGTTTCTGTGTTTGAGGAACCGCCCCTGGTCCTCCGCGAACATCTCGCGCAGGACGGGGAGGTAGCCTTGCCGGCTGAGGAGATCCATAACTAAGGTGTAGGGCCTGTAGGGGTTATAGTGGGTGTAGGGTTTAATTAGGGTTTAGGGTTATGGGTCCTGCACTTGAGGATAATGGTGTGCTCGGCTTAGTATCGGGGATCCCCCTCCCCCCCAAACAGTTTCGCAGTCGTTGAACGTCCTCAATGAGCGAGACGAAATGGGTTCGGGGGGGGAGGGGTTGGGGCGGTTGAGAGCTTGAAAACCCTAAACCCTAAACCCTAAACCCTAAACCCTAAACCCTAAACCCTAAACCCTAAACCCTAAACCCCTAACCCTGGGGTCGAGGGTTGAGGAGCTGTTGAGGGGTTGAGAGGTTCTGCCTCGGAAGAAAGCGGTTGCAGATTGATCCAGACCACCCAAGCAATTTTCTAAAGTGCACTGCACCCCCTTGAAAAATTATATTTTGAGGTCTTGTTTCAGAAGAAGATCTTGAAATAAACTCATGTAAAGCTCGGCTCCAGAGATTATGGGAATCTGAGGCCGCTCGTTGCTCCCGGAATCCCCGGCCCACGAACTTTGCTCCTTCTTCCTTGTAACACTATCAAGAGGGCCGTGCTGGAAAGTGCTAAAAGACATTTTCGAAGGTTGACATTCAGACTCCGCATACAAGTGGGGAAGGAAACTAAATCGGGAGCAACATTATGAGATTGTTGGCCTTGTAGGAGGCTGCTTTGCGGGCCTGCGTAAACGCAATGCAGTCCCCTGCCGACAGACAACCTCCAGCCGGAACTGAAACGTCCCGCCCAACACCCTAAACCCCGAACCCCAAAACCCCCAACTGGACAACCTACAGATAACTACAGTATCAAATGGTTAGTCCTACATAACCAATAAGGGCGCAAGTACCAGCCCCCCCCCCCCCCTCCCGCCCCTACTACCAGTTTAGGTCGTCTTCGAGGACCCTATAAAGGCATGCGCAGGCAGCCTTCTCAAGTTAGTACGGGGGAAAGGACTAGGGTTTAGGGTTTAGGGTTTAGGGTTTAGGGTTTAGGGTTTAGGGTTTCGGGCTGAGTGGGGCACTAGAAGCAAATTCGGACCCTATACAGCGGGGGCACAGGGTCATGCCTGGGCCTTTTTCCCCCCAAGACCCTTAAAACAAAAAACAGAAGCTGCTTTTTGGGGAATTACAGTGTAGTATAGTACAGCATAGTATATTATGTATAGTATAGTATAGTATAGTATAGTATAGTATAGTATAGTATAGTATAGTATAGTATAGTATGGTAGAGTATAGTAGAGTATAGTAGAGTTTATAGCTTGTTTGGCCGCATGGATGCCCGTAGTTTTCACGCCAGGCAGGCCTTCAAAAAGATCAACCTCGTACGTGCCGCCGCCCTCGTCCAGCAAGCCTTGCTTCTACAGGTTGAGGGACGAAAGCATGAGAGGCAGAGACTCCAAACCTTTGAATAATAAAGGAATATACCTTAAATCATATCAGGGTTCCGATTATGATGTAAGGTATATTCCTTAATTAAGGGGTTTTGGAGTCTCTGGGGGGTCCGAGGGCTTGGGGCCTTGGAGCCCCAAAAGGCAGCTAAACCGGCTGACTTGCTTGGGGCTTCAGACTTGGGATGAAGAACCTTATACTAATTCAGGCCTTAAGAGGGCTTGTAAGAGGGGGTGCGATCATCCAGATTAAGGACTGCTAGTACAAGGTGGAACATCCCAAGTTCAGACCTTCGAAGCGCTCGTGTTTTCATAGAATCTTCACATTGCGTTCAGACTGTCTGGGAGTCGGAAGCATTCCGGCATTTCGTGAGCCGACCCAAGCCAAGCCAAAACCCATGGCCTTAACATCATTTGGCTTGAGGATGTGCTAAACGTAGGCTGGCTTCAAACCCCCTACGACACACCCAACTTTCTGTATGTCCAATCCAGCACCTTGCAAGCCCTGAGTGCAATTCCGCGCTCAGGGCCTAAACCCTATAAACCGTAAACCCGACATCTACTGCACAAGCTCCATCAGACGGGAGTCTAATTTTGTCGGGGAAGAACCGGCCCTCGTCTGCCTCGGATCTCGGATCCTACACAACATGCTTTTAGGGTTTAGGGTTTAGGGTTTAGGGTTTAGGGTTTACTGGATATGACAGGATCACGTCATAGGCGCAGTTGAAGAAAAAAAGGCATCCGAAGGACGTGGTGCCAGAAGCAACGCAACACGCCTGCGTCCGACACACACACACACACACACTCAGATAAGCCATCCTCCACGATAGGGTAACACAACACACACAATGCTTCGCTACTTCTGATGCAACGATCAGCACCCTGTCTCATCAGAGGTATTGCTGCGATACAGATCACAGGATTACGACTGTCGACTATGCACAGGAAGAGTTCAAAGATGTCACAAGCACACACACACACACACACTCACTCACTCACTCACTCACTCACTCACTCACTCACTCACTCACGCCACTCACGCCACTCACGCCACTCACGCCACACACGCCACACACGCCACACGCGCCACACGCGCCACACGCGCCACACACGCCACACACGCCACACACAGAGAGACACGCCGCACACGGAGAGACACAGAGACACAGAGAGACATAGAGACACAGAGACACAGAGACTCACAGACACAGAGACACAGAGACCCAGAGACCCAGACACCCACCACATACCACACACCACAAACCACAAACCACACCCCACACACCACAAACCATAAACCATAAACCACAAACCCCAAACCTTGACCCCTAAGCCGAAACCCAAGATGAGGCGAGCATCCTCGACGATGTCTAGAAGGTGCCTCGCCCAGCCAGCCACTCCTGCGTTCTTCTGATTGAGGACAAGCAGGCGCCAGTAGACGCCCAGCATCACACCTGGCATTGGGTCTAGGGATTGGATTAGGGGTTTAGGAAAGCAGTATACCCAGAGAGCCCAATACCCCTTGATCAAGAAGTATACTCTAAGTGTATATAGATGCTGAATATGATCTAAGTTCTATTCCGTGTTTAAGGGGTCTTGGGCTCTGTGGGTATATACATATACACATATATACATACATATATAAATACATACATACATACATACATACATACATACATACATATATATATATATGTATTACATATATATATATATATGTATATGTATTACACATATGTATATATGTATAGAGAGAGAGAGAGGCCGTCACAGGCACATGATTCAAGAGCAATCCTATGCTCGGAAGTCATTTCAGAGCACCCTAAACCCTAAACCCCAAACCCTGAACTCTAAACTTAGCCACCCTGAAGGCCTAATAGAGCCGGGCCTAACACTAGCCTCACTCTGAAGCACTGGTCCTGAAGAGTCTAAAATCGGGCTTGAGACCAGAATCCCGTTTTAAGTCCGCTTAAACCCCCGGCCAGAGAAAGAGGGAACCCTATGTAATCCCTTAAAAGGTATAGGGTATAGGGTTTAGGGTTTAGGGTGATATAGGGTGCCTCATTCCCTCATTCTCTACGAACCAACAGTAAGGATAATTGACCCAGGCACTAACCACGCGCTGCTTGTCGCATGGGCTGCTGCCAGCGTGGCAGAGTTGACAGCAAGTGCTGGTACCGTTCCTGGAAGCTCAGAAAAGTTTCCATCGCAATGTCAGTGACAAGATTTCCTTATAGAATGGTAGCATGAGTATCACCAGAAAATAATTAACAGCAACCATGCAACATCTTCATAAGGCAATATCGGTTCCCGGGTCTAAGGGTTCAAAGCCGTTGTACTTTCAAGGGTTCCCTAAAGTATAGATTTGGAAAACAAGTATGCTCAACCTTTGCAGGAGACTTGTTTGTTAAGGGCTTATGGGGTCTAGGCTTGGGGGCATGAGGCTTCGGCGTTGGGGGTGGAGATTCCTGATGGGTTCTGTTAAACCCTAAACCCTAGGCCCTGAACCCTAAACTTAAATCCTAGACCCTAACCCCTAACCCCTAAACCCCTCTGTTGAGGGAAGCAGAGCGTCATGACGCTCAAGATGTCCTCTTCCACCGGGTCGTCCTGTGTTGGCGGCATCGACATTGAAATTATGGACATGGGTTTAGGGATTTAGGGTTTAGGGTTTAGGCCTTAAGGTTTAGGCCTTAGGGTTTGGGTTTCGTTGCTAGACCACATGACCCATTTTGTTCCACACCTGCTTTTTTACATCAAGATTGTTTGCGAAACTCTGGGGGGGGGGGGGGGAAGGAACCTGGCCAACATCAACTAAGTGCTTCTACGGAGTCTGCGTCAAACGATCATGATCTTGCCAAGGCAAGTGCAACCCTAGCCAGCCTAAACCTGAAGGCTCCTAGTGCAGTTCCTTTTCGGGTAAGTTATTGGGGATTCTCGTATACCACCCAAGAAAGGAACCCTAAACTCCTGATGTAGCTCCTTTTTGGGTACGTTATAGTGACCATAGGGAATTATCGTTCAGGAGGTACTTTTCATAGGGGTGGTTGTCAAACTGGTGGTCCCTTTTTGGATCCCTATTATAATTCGGCACCTAACATTTCGGGTATCCCAAAATGGATCACAATTTTGACAGGGTTTAGGGTTTAGGGTTTAGGGTTTAGGGTTTAGGGTTTAGGGTTTAGGGTTTAGGGCCTAGGGTTTAGCCATAGGAGGTTTTTGAGAACATCGGCGTCCGCCCACGCCTGGATCAGGCCCTCCTCTGCGGTGTACGCGAACGTCTCATCGCTGTACCCGGCACGGCTCACGGCGAAGCAGAGCCTGCGTTGGGGTTTAGGGTTTAGGGTTTAGGGTTTAGGGTTTAGGGTTTAGGGTTCAGGGTTCAGGGTTTAGGGTCCCGGGTAAAAGGGGATGCCCCTATTAAGGACTGCCAGTATGAGGGGGCACATGCCAACCTGAAGGCTAACCCTCATCAACCCTGCACCCTCAGTATTCTTATTCATGTTGATCATATCATTGCTATGGCTATGAGCTGTGTAGCCTTAGACAGCCCTTGCAGGAGCTTGTCAACCCGATAACCGCTTCCACTCGGCCCGATTCGATCAGGGTGCGGATGTAGAAGTGCGAACGCCTCTCTATCATGGGTGTCCCTACTACCGCCCCCTCTATGCTACCCGCCACAGGTTCCCTCCTTGAAAAACCTCAATTGGGCTTCATTATCCCTAAATAACCTTTTGAGGGGAACCTAGGGGGGGAGGGGGGGTAGTATGGGAACCCCTAAACCCTAAACCCTAAACCCTAAACCCTAAACCCTAAACCCTAAACCCTATAGAACCCGAACCCGAAGTTTAGTCTCCGGAGGCTCAGGGAATAAAACGCGCGCCCAAAGATCTCAAAATCTAAAGCTCGCTTGAGACATCCCCGAAGCCCTATAAGCCCAATAAACCCGCAATCAACCCTAAAACCTAGGGTTTAGGGTTTAGGGTTGCGGGAACCCTACCCTACACACCCCCCGCCCCCTCCGCCCCCAAGAAGACCCAGTGGCTGCTCTAGGCGGCACCAGAGACGTTCCTGCTTTGTGTGAACCGTGATCTCCTCACCTCCAAGGGGAGTGTAATCTAGGGGCCTTAATTTAGGGTTTAGGGTTCAGGGTTCAGGGTTCAGGGTTATGATTAGAATGGGGTTTTAGGGGGGGGGGGGGGGTATCATAGCATAAATACAAAGGGACCATAAGGGATGATATCAGAAATTCTTCCGACCCCTACATTATTCGGCCTTTTGCAGTTTGGGGTTCGGGTTTAGGGGGCAGGATTAGGGCATTTTTGGGGATATAGACCCTCTCAATAAGGAAGAGAGCCAGAAGGGCCTACCTAGGAGGGTTAAGGGGTTCGGAGGTCTAGGGGATTCCTGCTGTTTACTACTTGCTTAGTATCCCAGCTATAACTGCACTTATAACCCAATAATAACCCGATTAGGGCACTTAAAGGGCTCAGAAGTGTGTTTTCGTAAACTTTATACTGGGCTACTAAGTACCCTAAACCCTAAACCCTAAACCCGAAACCCGACTTATGATGGGTTACTAAGTGCCATGAACCTTCAAGTAGGCACCTAAAGCTTGGCATCTAGAGCTTCAGCTTCAAACTTGCGGCTACAGCTCGAACAAGTACTAGACCCAGGAGTGACCTAGGAATAATAAGGGTGCCCTTTTTGGTTTTCGGGGGATTATAAGAAAACCCCAACCCTACAAAAAGGAAAACAGGGGCCCACTCCCGGTCCTAGAGTACCTCTGAGACTGCTCCTCGCCTGCGGGTATATGAAGCAAGGTATATATTTCTTGTACCCCCAAGAAGGACACCCGGCATCTACACTCACCCATGTTAAAAGGAACCGTATGTACACTCACCAATACCAGTCATATAAACCTACTTCATATGGGTGGCTGTCAAAATCACAACCCCTTTTGGGGTACCCCTAAATATTAGGTGCCGTACTATAATAGGGATCCAAAAAGGGACCATCATTTTGACAACCACCCATATACGCATTTGACTTCAAGGCTTTAGCTTGCAGGGTCTCTGGGGCATGGAAGGACAGCTCCGAAAGCATGAAGATGCAATCGCGAGCTGAGGTGAGCTGAGCATGAACCCTAAACCCTAAACCCTAAACCCTAAACCCTAAACCCTAAACCCTAAACCCTAAACCCTAAACCCTAAACCCTAAACCCTAAACCCTAAACCCTAAACCCTAAACCCTAAACCCTGAACTGGCCTGAGTCGACATGCTTGCACGTAGGCGCCAGCGCAATGAAAGAAGTGCAGAAGGAGGTGTAGGCAAACATGGAGTTGATGGCACTCTGCTGCTGAACCTTGTTCTCCTCAGTAGCCCAGAAACCATACTGTAATGAGGGCACCCTTTTTGGGGGTGGTTTCTTTATATAAGGGCACCCATAACCAAAAAGAAAGGGTAAAGGGTATCCCTGGACTGCCAAGTCTCTTGAGGCAAGCAGCAGTAGTCCTCGGGGAATGCACACACACACACAGAGCCACCTCTCTTTCGATTCTAAGCAGGCATTCAAAACATCAGACTTGCCCTACTACCAGTCCAACTCCCCTAAACACTAAAAAAAACCGAAACCCTAACCCCTGGACAATTATTTTCTTAATCGAATCCCTCCCCCAATAAACAATCCCCTTATTACCCTTGTAGGGAAGAATTTTTTCTAGTTTTTCTCTGTGTTAACTTTTTTTCGGGGGGTGGGGAGGGTTCTTAAGCGGAGGTTGCTTAGAGTCAAGCGTCCATCCATATCCAATTTGCCCTGATGCCCCGTCGTTGGAGTTCGCGGGTGGCCCTCACGACAGCGGCGTACTTCTCCCCATGGGGATCCTGAAACAAACGCGATTTTTGTTGTTCTGTTTTTCAGTTTGTTTTTGTTTTTTTTGGGGTTTTTTTGGTAGCCTAGTAGCCATATTACACTAAGGGCAACCTTTTGGGGTGGGGGGGGGGGGGGGGGCTTGGTTACTTTTATAAGGGAGCCTGAGAACCAACAAAAAGGGAAAGGGGTACCGCTGGGTTTCCAAGAAGGTTGGGGTTTAGAGGCATACGTGGAGGTTCATGGTACTTAGTAACCCATTGTCACTGTACTTGTAACCCACTTATAAGCCCCTTAAGTGCCCTAACATGGTTATAAGTACAGTTATAAGTACAGCTATAATTGCTTAATGAGTACCATGAACCTCCGAGTAAGCCTGGCTCTGCTCGATGAGCCTGGCTACCGCCGTAAACGGAGCAAACTAGGGTTTGGGATTTGGGTTCCCATCCCATCCTTCTCAAAATCCCTGGAATCCTGAAACCCTGAAACCCTAAAGCAACAGCATCCTCAATCCGAAGACAAAAACACCCAACACCCTAAACCTCTACATGTAAAAAAAACCCTAAAGTTCCGTACAACCCTGCTGCCCATCATCCCCCCCCCCCCGTCCCCTGCCCCAACACCCTGCACTCCAAGTGGCAGGATGGCTGAATCCAGCCCACTGGTGGCTTATGAAGGCCACCCCATCTAACCTGCAAGTAGGGGATAGGATTAGGGCCCCCTCCGGGATGTAGACCCGCTGAATAAGGTCCCTGTTCAAAAGAGAGCCAACAGAGGGTTCAGAAGGGTTCCCCTTATAAGGGTACCCCTTATCCTACCCAGGAGCACCCTCAACCCTAAACCCTAAGCCCTGAACCCTAAACCCTGAACCTTAAACCGTGAACCCTAAACACCTAGGAGCAAGAGGCGTCCCCGAAAGGATGGGGCGCGCTTCGGGTTTCGGGGGCTCAGGAGGAGCCCGCCAGTTTCAATGAGCCGGGTTTAGGGTTTAGGATTTAGGGTTTAGGGCTTCGGGTTTAGGGTTCAGGGTTTTGGGGCTACTACTGTGAAATTCACTGAGCAACAAAAGGATCTATACTGCACCACTGCGACTATTTTCAGGCACGGTTTGAATGCGGGTGGAGGTGCTCGAGGGTCACGCCGCAAAACTCTGAAACCTCAATTTCCCGGATCCACCCTAGCTTCAGGTAGGCTAAGGGAAACAGGTATCGCTTTTGACTTGATAAGGTTTGTAGAAGTATATCCCAAGAAAAGGTGCCACTGCGTTGATAGAAGACCCAGATCCCCTGCACTCACAGAAGTGCGGCGCCCTGCCCGGCACTGGGCTTGACGGCGCATCAGGGTCTAGGGGTTAGGGGTTTAGGGGTTTAGGGGTTTAGGGGTTTAGGGGTTTAGGGGTTTAGGGGTTTAGGGGTCTAGGGGTCTAGGGGTTTAGGGGTTTAGGGGTTTAGGGGTTTAGGGGTTTAGGGGTCTAGGGTTCAGGGGTTTAGGGGTTTAGGGGTTTAGGGTTCAGGGTTTAGGGTTCAAGGCCCCAGGGTTCATGGATTTGGGGTTCAGGGTTCCAACTTCAGGGTTTTAAGGGTGGCTGGATTCAAGGTTCAGGGTTCAGGGTTCAGCAGGGCCCGGGGTTTAAGACATAGTCTACTAATTGCTTAAGAACCATGAAAAAACACAAATATTCTTCCTTCTTAAGGGTAATCTAGGGATTATCATGTTTTATTCTTTCGGGGCTCTTAAGCAAGTAGTAGTTGTTTCTTCATGTTGCGCGATCCAGTGGGTGGGTGGGTGGATATTCGATTCCAGAGTAGCGAGCTGAGATCTTAGGGTCAGTGGTCCCTTAATATGGGCCCTTAAAAGGGGACCCCCCTTATATGCCCCTTTATACCCTATACAAACTAAGGGCCCATAAATCAGAACCCTTTAACGAGGGCAAGGGACCATACCATGAAACTACCCTCATATGAACCCTAAACCCTAAACCCACAACCCTAAATCCTGAACCCCAAACGCTAAACCCTGAACCCTGAACCCTGAACCCTGAACCCTAAACCCTAAACCCTAAACCCTAAACCCTAAACCCTAAACCCTAAACCCTAAACCCTAAACCCAGCCAGCCTGCAGAACTCAGCCGCCTCCTGGGCTGTGTCGACGCTATGGAGGAGGCCACGATCTCGGATGTTCTCGTGCCGGAGGATCATCCCGAACCTCAATTTCCAAGGGTTTAGGTTTAGGGTTTAGGGTTTAGGGTTTAGGGTTTAGGGTTTAGGGTTTAGGGTTTAGGGTTTAGGGTTTAGGGTTTAGGGTTTAGGGTTTAGGGTTTAGGGTTTAGGGTTTAGGGAAACTTACTGTTGGTTAGTAGGAAATCGGGGAGTTCGGGCCCTACATATACCCTTTAAGGGACTACAGTATATAGGGTACCTCATTGCCCCATTCCCTACTAACCAACAGTAAGTCAAATCTATACTGAACTTGGAACCCTAGCAAAAATGATAACTTTAGCTGTTTCTTAGGAATTATAGTGCCCCAAAATTAAACATTAATTCTCAAGTATCCCTGGGAAATCAGGGCTCAGTTCAGCGAATTGAAGGTTTGGGTTTCAGGGCTTTTCTAGGGCTTAGGGCTTCAGAGGCTTGCGCAGTTGTGGCTTTCGTGTAGGGCCGCGGCTTAAATTTCTCAAGTCGGGTCTGCACAGTTTGGCGGCCGGGGCCTCTTGGGAAACATGGCACGGTTTAGGGTTTAGGGTTTAGGGTTTAGGGTTTAGGGTTTAGGGTTTGGGGTTTGGGGTTTAGGGTTTAGGGTTTAGCTTTGTGGCGACTGGTGTGTGGGTTTAGCCGTCTAGCGTTGGAGGCCGCTGCCTGCACGGTTTGGCAGGTCGATCTGGCTGGCAAGCTTCCTGCATGGACGCCTGCCCTAAACCGGAACCCAAGAATAGAAGCATCATATCTGACATGCATTCCATCCCCTCTGCGACACGTGTGGCCCAAACACGACCCTAAACCCTTAAAACCCTCAAAACCCTTAAAGCCCTTAAGACCCTTAAAACCCTTGAAACCCTTAAAACCCTGAAAGCCCTTAAAGCCCTTAAAAAAAACCCATAAAGCCCAAAATAACCTAAAGCCGAAGCCCTGAGATTCTGCGTTCAACGTGGCAAAGTGCGGCCGGGGAACTTCTCAAAGTCTTCGAGGCACACCACGCAGAAGGGGAACTGTATCACCTTGATGTGACGATTCTGGGTAGCCCAGTAACCACACTGCAGTAAGGGTACCATTTTGGGGGCTTGGTACTTTGAAAGGGAACCTTGCACCCCAAAAAGCGCCAAAGGGCACCACTGAGCTACCAAGGATTGAATGGCTTTAGGGTTCAGGGTCTACAGATACTTACCCGGAGACTCCAAAACCCCTTAATTAAGGAATATACCTTAAATCATATGAGGGTTCCTATTTATAATTTAAGGTATATTCCTTAATTAAGGGGTTTTGGAGTCTCTGGGTACAGTATGCAGCTTGACCTGTGGCCAAGAAGGTCTCCCTACGCCTTATGCGCATGGCCTCTAAGAGCTCTTGCAGAACAGACAGTCCTCGATTCCTAGACAAATTCTCATTCCTGAAGGTTAGATCCTCAACCACAGGGCGGGAAAATCAGATAACGAGAGGCCCTAGTCTACACATAGCGCGACAACTGCTAAAATTGACACGCTGGTGCTCGGAGGCTTTAACGTGCCCTTCTTTAAAAACCCTGGCACCTGAAGCCCCATGGCACCTGAAGCCAAGTCACATTCAAGTTAGAGATTGCAGATTGGATTGTCCTGGCCCGCACTTCGTGCATGTACAACTTCCAGATCTCCATCTGCGAGTGCTTGCGCAGAGCAAGGATCACCTCATGGCTCCGGTGTGTAAGGTGTCAGAGGTACGATTTAGGGGTTCGCAATGGGTTTCACTGTAAGTTGTGAGTCTTGGGTTCAAGGCGAGGGGAAGCCAGGCACGTGCAGCTGCTGGTTGTGTGCACATGCAAGTCGAAGAGCACTATCCGAAGTATGTCGGGGTTTCCGAAAATAGGGGAACCAGAATGTAGTCCCGAAGTAGTAGGATTCCCTTATATTGAGGCCCCCACTAAAGTACCCCTAATTTCGGAAACCCCAGATTGTACTGCGTCGGCCTTATATAGGGGCCCGAAAAAATACTAATAGTGTTCCCTTATGGTCCCTATAACAGTATACTATAAAACAACTCCCAAAACCCTACTCTCTATAGTTGACCCTTCTCACTACTGAGCGCTTGTTGAGGGCTTGCTCGGCTCAAAGCTAGGAAGGAGGGCGGATGTGTACCTATAGGAAGGAGGAACCAGTCCATGATGTGCGCATATTCTAAACCCGGGAGTGACCTAGGAATAAAAGGGTACCCTTTTTGGTATAAGAAAACCCCAACCCTACAAAAAGGAAACAAGGGCCTACTCCCGGTCCTAGTATTCCTGCGTGCGGAAGACACGGTAATTGCAACAAAGTACTTCTCTTCAAGATGTCAATTTTAAGTCAGCAAACGACAGCTAAACACACATTGTCATCAGAACTTGACTGGGGAAGATGTAAAAGCCAGGTGATGAACTCCTCCATCTCTAGTCCTTCCATGATGCCTAGTATATAGCAGAATATGCAACTGGAAGTGGTGGGCATCATAGGCGCCACTCTGCGAGCAGTTGGCCAAAAACATGAGGCTACAAGTTACAACAGGGACACGTAAAGACTAACCCCTCAGCCCCACAGCCCAGACCCTAAGCCCCCTAAACCCTAACCCCTGAACCCTAAACCCTAAACCCTAAACCCGAGTTGGTACACACTAAATCTGTGCGCAGGCAGGGTGCTTGGGAGCATCGGCTCAGGTGGCCCCTTTTTTGAGGCTTCCTAGGCGAAGACGGAGCCTGATACTTAGGGAGTCCACAAGAAGAACCATAATTCAGGGAACCTCTGAACCTTGTAAACCCTAAACCCTAAACCCTAAACCCTAAACCCTAAACCCTAAACCCTAAACCCTAAACCCTAAACCCTAAACCCTAAACCCTGTGGAACGGAATGCCGAGGCAAGGGGCGTCCATGCCCAGGCAAACGCCGATCAGTGCTGAGAGGGGCAGGAGCAGCAGCACGTAGGTAAGGTTCGGATCGGCGACCTCTTCGGGGCGCAGATAACATCATGTGGTTTGTTGGTCTTTCTATTCTTTTTTTGGGGATTTCTGTTCAAAAATCTTATTCTTGCTTTTAATACAAATAGCAATCACGTTTAGTCGTTAAGGACCCTAAATAAGTACACGCAGCTCTCCGGATTATAGGGTCTCGGGTTTAGGGTTTGGGGGGGCTTGGGGGTAGGTTTGCAGCCACTCTTCGGGTTGTATAAGGCTTATATGGGGGGTTTACAGCGTTATAGGGCTTACAAGATGTTCCTGGTTCAAACAGGGTGTACACTGAACATTGTGCAACAACAGTGTCAGTGGAGGCTGATGAGCCCGAACTTTTGAAAAAGAAAAAAAACATCGAGCTCATTATTTATGACGTAGGAGCCTACTTATAGTATCTTATAGTCCCTAAACCCTAAACCCTAAACCCTAAACCCTAAACCCTAAACCCTAAACCCTAAACCCTAAACCCTAAACCCTCCCAGTCAGACTACCCAACCCCAAATTGCCTTCCAACCATCGAGTGGAGAGAGGGCCAGCTTCCAGCGGAGGGAGAGTTCCGGCACCACGATGGAGAAGGACTCTGGGTCCTGGATTCGGGTTTAGGGTTGAGGGTTTCGGGTTTAGGGCAGGAAGTTCGATGGATTTGGGGTTTGGGGTTGGATGGAAAGGATCTAGATTGGGGAGGCGTCACTGATCTACACTGCAGGCCCACAGGCGACTCCCGAGAGGGGTTGCGAGAAAGCCCTGACTGACCCCACCTGCGTCCCCAACTACTTCTTGTTTTAGGGTTTAGGGTTTAGGGTTTTTAAAGTGTATTTTGGGGGCGAATACAAGGGTTAGAAGCCCTGCTTTCGGGGGAACTCTAAAAAACCCAAAACCCTCAACCCGAAACCCTAAAACCCTAAACGGCAGGACCGGAACAGAGGCCCGATAGGAAGGCCAAACACAGCACCCCAAGAGGGTCCATTTGTATTGCTAGTATGGAGTTAGGTAATAGTGCTACAAATGGACCCTCTGGGCACCTTTTAGCACGCCGGGGAGCTGCACCAAGACTGCTGTTAGAGTGCGGCCATTTTCTCAGCGCTTCTCTGTCGGCTGTTGTAGCTTCGCTGGACCTGGGAGCTTGGGGTTTAGGGCTTCGGGTCACATGATGTATTGCCAACACACGGCAAGGACGTGAGAGGTTCAGTGATGCACGACGAAGCACCCTACACCCTAAAAAGAAACCCTAAACCTGACCAAAATGCCACTATGTAGTACCTTTTTGTGGCAGTATACGATAGCCCCCTATAACTAGCTCAAATAGGAACTACATTCGGAGCCTTCAGGTCCAGGTGCCCTCAAAACCTAGATCGCGGACAAGGCCGGGTGGCAACTGGTATGCGAACCGCGTGAAGCCTGCTACTCGGTGAACACCTCTCTCCTTGGCTCTGCAATGTTTGGGTTTAGGGTTTAGGGTTTAGGGTTTAGGGTTTAGGGTTTAGGGTTTAGGGTTTAGGGTCTAGGGTCTAGGGTCTAGGGTTTAGGGTTTAGGGGTCGGAATAATTACTAATAGTATTCCTTTAGTGTCCCTTTATAAGTATAAATATCATAACCCCCAAAATCGTATTCTAATTCTTCAGGCCCCTGTATAAACCGCGGGGCGGATGATGGGGTGTGCTTTCGACGGCCCAAGTCGGGTCAGGGTGAACTGGGCTGTGGTTACGGCAGGAGGCGGCTTCAACCCTCAAATGTGCGGAATGCTGCACTCAACTAATTCGGATTGCACCTAACCCTAATAAATTCTAAAAAAAAACTCTGTTCGGTCTTCACCCTAAAGACCATGCCCCAAAGCCTGTAAGCTATGAACCTCTCCAGCCCTAAACTAGACCCAAGAGCAACCTAGGAATACAAAGGGTGCCCTTTTTGGTAATAAACCCGGAACCCGAAACCCTACACCCTAAACCCTAAGCCCTAAACCCTGAACCCTAAACCCTAAACCCTAGACCCTTCCAACCCGCAAGAAATGCTGAGCGAGGTGTCCAAGTCTTCAAGGCTGATGGTCCTCACAAGCTTCGAGGTCGTCAAGGGCTCTGCAAGAAAGTGTAAAATGGAGGTTTGTATGGTTTAGGGTTTAGGGTTTCGGGTTTAGGGTTTAGGGTTTAGGCTTTGGCGATTGCAGGCTTTAGGGATTTCGGGCGTTGGGGTATGGAGTTCAGGGGTTTCTAGCACTAAGGATCCATATATCAAGATACATATAGTCTGTACTTGGGCCCTAAAGCAGCTATTGAAGGCCCAAGTATATTCTATAGAGGTACATGGACCCTTAGGGTAGGCTCTAGGGCTACAGGGTCAAGGCTCCGTGCTTTAGCGGTCGCTGGCACTCGCCTCGGCATCGACACCGAAACCAGCACCGCTGACGCACATTGCGCTCTGGATACAGAAAAACTCTAAGGCTCCAAACAGCCCGAAGTAGGGATTACTTACAGACTTTAGACCCCCATGCAGGCATGACTTGTATACTTGGAGCCCTAGGGAAAACATTGAAGCACCCCTCAGCGCCCGCAATGCAGACTAACATCTTCACACACACACACAAGAAAAACACGTAACTCGAAGCCCTGGCCAAGTCAGGAGGAGTCCTGAGCAAGTCCTCGAAACTCACGGACATCACCGCAAAGCCTAGGAAGGTGGCGTGAGAGGATCTGGGGGGGCCTAGGTTTCTTTGTTCCTTTGGTGCACCTCAAACACGCCCCTAACACCCTTGAGCATCTTTGGGCGCTCAACGGGTAGCACATATGTACCCTTTGGAAACGGGAAATCTTCCCAAGGTACATCTCCGGGTAGAAACTCGTGCACGGCCAAGATAGCCCCAAGCTCCCGAGCAGGCCCTAAGCCCTATAGAGGGTTTAGGTTTAGGCTTTACTTGAGCTTCATCCACCTAAGGGCTGAACAAGCGCCTGGAACGTTGTTAAAGCAAACTTGTTCTGCCAGGATGCCCCAAAAGTAAGTGGCATCTCCATGCACATCCGGTGGACCGGGAAAATAGCCTGATACTTCACCGACAGTGGCTGTCATATTCTGGGTGATGGCCCAAGAACATGACTCTGCAAGGTTTATGGCTACTCTAGACCCGGGAGTAACCTAGGAATAAAAAGGGTGCCCTTTTCGGTTTTGAGGGGATTATAAGGGAACCCCAACCCTTAAAAAAGGAAAAAAGGGCCTACTCCCGGTCCTAGTACTGGCATTTGTTCTACATCGTCCATGAACAACTCCATGAATCTTCAAAAGCAACCTGCCCGCAACGTGTCATGTCAATAATGGAACACCATGTTTTTGGCACAAGCCTTTCGAAGTTGTGGCTTGCCATACATGGGACGGATCATTTGCATGCATGCAAGATTCGAAGACGGCCGTGCAAGCATGTATCAATCTGTGACATTCAGCTTGTTTTTTGTTCTTTCTTTGTTGCTCATCCATGAACTTCCTCATTCCATTGCTGCGTTTCTCACTCCCGCCTTGCTTAGACGATCCACGCGCTGCGACCAATCGTGCTGCGCGCACCGATTTTAATTCTTTCGGCTCCGCTTTCCTCATGTCTTAGCCAAACCTTGATGACTCGTTCTGAACTTCACACTTTGCTGCACTCATCCGGGTGACAGTTCGGAATCTCGGCAGGGTAGTCCGTGCCGGAGCACCGCCTGGCAAAACTACTAACTATGACGACTTCTAGTCCCTCAACCCTACGAGATAGTCCAAGGGAACCCTCTAAGCTTTAGGGCTCTGTATGGCTCAGGTACATGAAACCCTGTCTTGCCGTGGCAGTCCATGAGCCTTCAAGCAACCCCAAGGGCCTCGTGTAGTTTCGTCCCTGATACACCATCCAGCTGTCCGGCATGTACACCGGGGCATAGGATGTAAAAATCGGCCTCCGTGCTACGAAGTCCTCAGCTGGGCTCGGCATTCAGGAGGTGACTCCGCAAGCGTCAGCGAAAAAAACTACGAGTGGTTTACATCGTATCTGCTGAAAGCAGACCTCGGCGCCCCAGCTAAACCATAAACCCTAAACCCTCCCCCAACTCAGTCAAGATTCTGGTTGGTGCCCAGAGCTGCCATGCAGGTCGCTTGGGTGACTTGGGTGATCTGGCCACTCGGCGGATTGGTAGGCGTCGTCGATGTAAGTTGTCTCGGTTTTGTGATAACCCCAAGGCTCCAAACAGCCCAAAGTAGGTACTGTTTACACAACTGTAGACCCCAATGTAGGTATCATTTATATACTTGGAGCCCTATAGGGCCTAGGGTAAGGAAAGGGAATTTAGGAGATTGCTTCACGGTTCGGGGGGGGGGGGGGGGGGGGGGGGGGGGCGCTTCATCTTCAACTCCGCGGTTAATAGCAGCTGGTCATCTTTGCCACAGCCGGGCAGAGACTGCGCAGGCGCTTGCGCTGCTACGTCTAACTTAGTTGTCCAGGAACATGGGGGAATTAAAGGTTAACCTTTGGGATTATAAGGAGACTATGTTACCCCCAAAGGGTTAAAGGTTACCTACTCTACTACTAGGTCTACGCTGTCCTGGCCTGCTGGCAGGGTCCATTCCTCATGTGCCATGTTCGAAGCTCCTAAACCCTAAACCCTAAACCCTAAACCCTAAACCCTAAACCCTAAACTTCCGAATTCTGCTTCTGACCACCATCTGCTGCTTTTTGCGCTGGCATCCGAAGGCAACCCTAAACCCTAAACCCTAACCCTAAACCCTAAACCCTAAACCCTAAACCCTAAACCCTAAACCCTAAACCCTAAACCCTAAACCCTAAACCCTAAACCCTAAACCCTAAACCCTAAACCCTGTCCCTCACTCTGGGGTTTTGACTCCCAAGTCCTCCCTCCCCCCCCCCCCCTCCCCATCCAAAAAACACACAAAAAAGAGGAGGATGATGAAAGACCAGTCTATTCCTTCATTCCCCTTCTAACCAACAGTCAGCTGGAAACATCACCCTCGAGTCAGCCTTATTTGGGCCTTGCTTTCTGGGCAGGGGATCGTCAGGGTGTGGTTGCTATGGGACCCTAAACCCTCCTCCCTAAACCCTAAACCCTAAACCCTAAACCCTAAACCCTAAACCCTATATGCCCTAAACCCGAAACCCTAAACCCGAGAGGGGGGATTGCGTTGTGAGCCGAGGCTCCCTAGCAAGGATGGCTTCAGTCGCTTGCGGGCCCCTATCGGGGTGAAGGAGAAGGTCACCCGACCCGTCCTCAGCTCTGCAACTCTCAGGGCTTGGGGTTGGTTAGGGTTCAGGGTTTAGGGTTTAGGGTTTGGGGTTTGGGGTTTAGGGTTTAGGGTTTGGGGTTTAGGGTTTAGGGTTTAGGGTTTCGGGTTTAGGGTTCTTTACTTCTGAAGGGCCAGGGTGCGGGGGAAAAAGCAGAGGTGCGGTCTGGGTTCAGAGTGTAGTGAGCGACTGAGGGTTGAGGATTTTGGGTCTAAGAATGCGGGCGCTCGTTTCCTTGTGGCTTCAGTGCTTGTAGAAGATGGAGTGCCAATGCCCACTGAGACAGTTTTGCAAAGTCCTGTTCATGCAAAGAGCAGGTTAAACTGAAACTAAACCCACGCCAAAAATCACCTTAAACCTTTGTCGGTATTCTTGCGCTACAGGGGGGGGGGGGGGGTCATGATACCGGCTGCAGCAAACATCGCACTTGTAGCATAATGCTAAGCATCTGAGAAGTGTTTCCTCGCAGGCTTGCTACCACCAATGTACAGTTGCGCAGATACAAAGATATAAATATAAATATTTCAAATAAATATATTTATTTATTTATTTATTTATGTCCTACGTACGCACACTTAATTGTTGATTCAATTCATGCAAGACTAGACAACAGAAGACGGGACATTCCAATACAACACATCACAACATGATATGGTATCACATGTACTGCCAAGTTCGTATAGTATACAAGATATGTTTATAAACTGCTTGTTATGAAGAAATATAGTACAGGTTAGCATAAGACACATGTTGGCCGATAGGACATGCATATGCATGTATAGAAAGTATTGAGTATACACACATATGCGTATATATATATATATGTTTTTGCATTGCTGAATGCTCTTACTACTAGGTCATTTCTCTAACATATGGTCCCTTTTTGGGTCCCTATCCTAAGGTGGCCCCTCTGATTTATTTAGTGCATCCGAAAAGGGACCATAACTTACAGAACCGTAAATTAATGATCTTCTACGGCACAAGTGCAGAGCCAAGAAGCCGGTACGAACTTGTCAGGAGGATACATCTTCCTCAGCTACTAGTTGCTTAAGAACCCCCTCCGCAGAAAAAATAGACATCCCTATATTGCCCTTATGAGGAAGACCTTCATGCATTTTTAATGATCCTTGGGGGGTTCTGAAGCACATAGTAGTCAGTCGCTGAAGGTTGCTACGCGTCACAGGGGCCGCATGAGGAGTGTTTAGGGGGGATTTCAACCCCGAGAGGTGTCATGCGTAGCTATCAGTTGGGTTAGGAGTTTAGGGTTTAGGGTTTAGGGGTAGTTCCACCCTGAACCGAGGCACTGTGACCACTCGGCGTGATCCTCAAAAACCTAAAAACTGCTGCTACCTTCACTGCAAGTCTCGTCAGACATGCGCCAGGGGCCAGCCCCAAAGCTGATATGCCCATGATCGACCCGATCAAGGACTGGGCGAGGTCGTCAAAGTGCTTCTCCGTCATTCCCGCAGAGTCGATCTTTACGGCTGCCTTGGTCTCTGCTGGCCAAAGGCCACACCCAACTACCAGGTGCAGGCTGCTTATCGACGCAAGTCGCCGGCTCTTTTTTTCTGCAGTTTCAGCTATCAAGCTTGAGGTACAAAAGCAACTACAAGTAGGACCCTGCGCACCCTCAAACGTGAGTGTTTGTCGGGGGGAGGTTCAGCTACCCTACCTGCCAACACGCAATGCTACCCATGAGTGCCCATGAACCTCAGAAGCTAGAAAGCCTCACAATCCCTATAGTTCTCGCACCTCAAAGCCTAAACTATATTCCCCTTAGAACCATAATAAAAACAATATTTTTGATATCCTCTTGGGTTTTGTATGAACAAAAAGAAAAAACATAATTCCCAAGGGGGATATAGTAAACCCCCTGAACCCCCCAGAGACTCCAAAACCCCTTAATTAAGGAATACACCTTAAATTATAGTAGGAACCCTAATACGATTCAAGGTCTATTCCCACTTAATTAAGGGGTTTTGGAGTCTCTGGGCCCCTCAGCGAAACAGGCGCAGCCAGGCTGCCTGCAGAGCTTCGAGAGAGCGGGTGGAGGCGCGAATCTGCCGAGAGATCTCCTGATCACGAGTAGCCAAATCAAGGTTGTAGGGCACAGGGCCTAGAGACTCCACAACCCCTTAATTAAGGAATAGACCTTAAATCATATTTGGGTTCCTATTATAATTTAAGGTGTATTCCTTAATTAAGGGGTTTTGGAGTCTCTTGGGGGTGCACTTGCAGGCTCAAATACTCTGAGCTCGTGTTCCTCTTTCATGCAATCACGGGAAGAGAGCGCTTATCCCAAGGGCCCTCTCTACTTTCTGGGAGACTGAGCGTCTGAGTGTCTGATTTGAAGCGGGGAAGATTGAGGAAGTATGCGGGCCAATCCTATCACATGGCCTCAGCGTAGAGTTCTGCAAGACTCCGCACAGAGGCGCGCAGCTCTTCTCTGTAGGCCACTTGTGATCTGTGGAAATTGTAGAGGCCTGAGATGCGAGGCTTTGCGATATCGGGCATGGGGGTTTGCGGAGTTTAGTGCTGCAAGCTTAGGGCTCAAAGCTTCGGCTCAGGGGGGTTTATATAGGGTTTAGGGTGTGGGGTTTAGGGTTTAGGGGAGGGTCTTGGCTTCGGAGGGGCTGAACTCAGGGGCGCAGGGCTCAGGACGTTCGACAGGAATCTCTGACATCGAGTTAGGGTTTCGGGTGTAGGGAGTTTCAACGCACATACACAAACCAGCAAACAAGCAAAGCAAAGGAAAGCAAGGCAAAGCAAGGCAAAGCAAGGCAAAGCAAAACAAGCCAAGGCAAGCACACACAACAAGCAAACGAACAAACAAATGTGCAAGCAACCACACAGACACACAAACAAACCAAACCAACAAACCAACAATCAACCAAACAAGCCAATAAACAAGCAAACAAACAAAGCAAACAAATCACCAGACAAACCAAGTCAAACAAATCAAAAACAAAGAACCCAAAAAAACGAACAAACAAGCACAACAATGAAACAAACACCAACAAAATGCGAGCCAGACGTAGAAAAAGCTCCCCCACCCTCCCCACGCCCCTTTCGCGCCCTCCCCGCCTCACCATGCCCCGGCCACACCCCACCCCCCGCGCCGTTGTTTTGGAGACAATGTGAGTCTTTCCTGAACCAAACAGGCCATCGCCGCCCCCCCCCCCCCCCTCCCCCCCAAACCCCCCACCCCCCCCACACACCGCCCTCCACAGGAAACCTCGCAAGGTTGAAGTCAAGATACTTAGAGGTATGCACAGCTGACACCCCTCAAGCCGCCAGATTCCGACTGCGAATAGCTTGCTGCCAAGGGCACTGGCACCGACCATGATGACGATCATTACCATGGTTACCCAAAACCTCCTTTCAAGCTACAGTGTGGGTTGAGTTGTGCTGTAGCTGATCGGCACTGCGTTTACGGTTGGGTGGTTGCTTGATCATCGACAAGCCCTGCAGCAAGCCCAGGCGAATCTCTTCTCCGGGCTACTGCGCTATGAGGCTAGATAATGGCTTCAACCATGCGTGCCCGACACTCATAAGAGCCTTGCTGAATCTCGGATCTCTTAAGCAACTTCTACCTAAACCCTAAACGCTAAACCCTAAACCCTAAACCCTAAACCCTAAACCCTGACTGCTCCTCCAGCGAACCCATACAGGCAGCGTGCACACGCATCGCCGTCGGGAGGTTTTGGCTTTGGTGCTGCCTTGGTACTTGGAGGTTCATGGTACTTATTAGCCAACAATAAGGATTTAGGGTTTAGGGGTACTTCTTAGCCAATGATAACTGTACTTATAACCACTTATACGCGCGCTCAAGGCCCAATATGGTCATAAATGCCGTTATAAGTTCAGATATAATTGGTTATTAAGTACCATGACCTCCCAGTATCCCAGGATCAAAAACAAACAGGTGGGTCTTTGCAAGGTCAGGACCCTAAACTCTTAACCCTAAACCCTAAACCCTAAACCCCCATACGCAATCAATCCTTGGGATGCTCCCCCTTATGCTAACAGCCCTTAATGGAGACTATAGTATCCCCTAGTAGAATCCCTACTGAGGACTGTTAGTATAAGGGGGAACATCCCAACATAAACCCTGCATCCGCACCTGTTTCAAGGAACGCTGTGCTTAACATGCTTCACATTCTATACTCCCTTAGAACCTTTATAAACATGATATTTGTAACATCCTCTTGTGTCTTATATGAACAAAGATGAAAAGAATCCCAAGGGGGATATAGGATTGGGTTTTAGTGCATGAACCAGAGCTCGACAAAGAACACTATACTGGGTACCCCAGTAACCATATTGTAATAAGGGCACCCTTGTTTGGTTGGTTTGTGTATAAGGGAACCTTGAACCAAAAAAAGGGAAAAGGATACCACTGGGCCAGCAAGTATATGTGGCCTGGCAGTTGCTGTGCAGAAGCAAAGGGAGAAGGCTTCTGGACACAAGGATGCAATATACCGCGGGGGGCTCTAAGCCAGTGCCCATGCTGCTACATACGCCTGCCGCACCCTCTTGCATGCATGTCACAAGTGGGGATGGTGGATGGGTCGTCGCAGAGGGATTCTCCTTATGATTAAGAAGCCGCAGCAAGCCTGCTACATACCCTGCACCTGAGACGCAATGAGAGGGTCGGAGACCGTACTCAGCTCAGCTACTTTACCGTGAGCAAGGCTTCTATACTGAGGAGCCAGACCCTACAAACCCTTCACCCAAACGTCGCGACGGCCCGACGCAGCCCGAGAACGAGCGCTGCAAGCTTGGACAAAGATTCCCCACGTAGCTGCGTATTCCCCTTGTCTAAATTGTATCTTTTTGAGAAGCCTGAGTATGAGGCTCCGTGGTTTTCAGTATTGGAACCCCGCAGGGGACCGTTATTTGGGAACCCGCTGAATGGTCCAAGGTTGTATAAGGAGGTTCTTGGGGAGTAGCTTTTGAGCTTGAGGGACGCACACCCCTCCACCCACAGACCATCACGCAAGGCGAAGAAGCCTACAAGTGAAAAGCCCAGGGTCGTTCTAGCACCTATGACATATGGGGGGTTTACGACAATAAGGGACCCCTAACATAGGCTATAGGCCCCCAAATAGTAGGATTCCCTTATAATAAGGACTCGAATAATACTCTGAACAAAATCCTGAATACGATCCTCTTAAACCCAAAAAAGGAAAATGTAAAATATCCCAAGGATCTACCTAGATAAGGTACCCCTAATTTCGGACACCTCCATGTATATGAGGCCCCAGCTAGACACCGACGCTGTAGCAATACTGCGCCGCAAGGACTGCTCCGAAGCAATCCGGGGACCTGGCTTCGGCGGGAGCCAGCGAATAATAGGGGTTTAGGGTTTAGGGTTTAGGGTTTAGGGTTAGGGTTTGGGCTTTAGGGTTCAGCTTAATCATTGAAATAGGGGTTTGGGTGTTACGATCGTATAAATATGAAGGAACCATAAGGAAGTACTCTTAGCATTTATTCCGTTGTTCCGACCCCTATATTATTACAGGTTGCTTCGTGCTTAGGGTGATTTGAGAGATCTTGGATTTGGGACATACTTGCTGTTTTGGGGCATATGAGTCTGGGATAGGGAGATCCGAATGAAGCCGACATGCGAAATCGAACAGTTGGGGTTCTGGGCCTTAGCATTGCCCTTGGGCGGGGAGGCGGGGGGGGCTCCTTTCTATAAGGGAGTCGGAGAAAAGAGGTACCCAAACGCAATTCCCATGTACTATTTGGCAAGAGGTCCACGTCTTCGTTTCAGGGCTTATAGCAGCTTCCTTCCTCCCTAAACCCTAAACCCTAAACCCTAAACCCTAAACCCTAAACCCTAAACCCTAAACCCTAAACCCTAAACCCTAAACCCTAAACCCTAAACCCTAAACATCCCAGATCTAAAGATCCTGTGCCCAACGACTCTCAAGGCTTGGGATGTTCCCCCTTATTACGAACAGCCCTTAACAGGGAGTTTAGGGTTTAGGGTTTAGGGTTTAGGGTTTAGGGTTTAGGGTTTAGGGTTTAGGGTTTAGGGTTTAGGGATGTCCCCCCTTATTACGAACAGCCCTTAACAGGGATTATATCAGGAGGTACTCGAATCCCTATTAAGGACTTATAGTATAAGTGGGAACATCCCAACTCAAGGCTGCTACTCACATAAGGTCTTGTTCTTGGTTTAGGGGTTAGGGTTTAGGGTTTAGGGTTGAGGGTTGAGGGTTGAGGGTTGAGGGTTTAGGGTTTAGGGTTTCGGTTTTTTAGGGTTTTCAGGGCTTTGGGAGCGTGTTGGAGTCTACGAATCTTTTGGGGGCTCATTCGGAGCCCTTGGTCCTTTCGGTGCCCGGTGCGAATACTATGGTACACCAGTAAATGCTGAGTTAGAGACCCTAAACCCTAAACCCTAAACCCTAAACCCTAAACCCTAAACCCTAAACCCTAAACCTAAATCTGCAGGATAATAAGACAGTATACAATTAAAAGAAACATGTAATACACTATCATATTTCATGCGATACGGTACTATCGTATGCGACAATAGACTATCATATTGTTGCACGACCTCCAGGGCAAGCGACGGAGTGTCAGAAATCTTTGAAGGTTCATGGATACTTACACAAATTTCCCCTAAACCCCAAAAAAACCCTAATCCGAAAGGCACTCTACGTTGCGACTCCGGCCCCCCTCACGCCCGCATCCAGGGCGACCCGAACCCCAAAAAGTACGGAAGCCACTGACCCGCCTCTTGAGCATCGAAGGATTAGAAGTAGGTTTGGAAGCATTGAAATGGGATTCGGGGCCCTATATTGGGACCACATCCTATTTCGAAGCAGACTCCCCAACAATGCGTGCGAGATGCTTGGGCAGTTTTCGCCCCATGAGGAGACTCCGGTACTGTTCAGAGCATGAGTCCAGTATAGCTCTCGCAAGTACGCATCCTTCTCCATGGCACCGCTTCGGCATCTAAGGCATAATGAGCCCAAACGGCAGTGTGGCCAAACACGGATAGACAATCCTCTTGCGCAGGCTTGCTAAGCTCACCGGGCTACGCATCTCTACCGGCATTCAGGGCTTACTGTCCATTTCCTACTTAAGTAGAGTCATAAGGACCCTAAATTGGGTTATAAGGATCCTAAATTCGGATATAAGTCCCTTAACTACAGTTAGTATAGTAAGGGGGCCCCTCCTTGTAAACTCCCAACTCCACCTTGGGCACATGTTTTGGCCTTAGGGATACACAGGCCTTCAAAAGGACTGGGGCTCTGCGAAAGGTCTCCGCAGACCCCCCGAAGCCTAAACCCTGAACTATAGAGGAGTATAACACGCAAGATATCCCTAAACCCAACCTTCATACTCTGGATTCCTGGTGGCTTAAGGAAGAACAACCACGATGACAGCCTGAAACCAGGGCCACATCCCCCAAGCTCTTTGCCTCCCGAAATCTGGCTTGAAGCTTCATCGGTAGAAGTACAGTTTGTAGACGTATGTGTGTTTAGAGCATTAACGCTTAGCTAAGGCGACACCAGGAAGCGGCCTGGACCTGGCGGGGGACGGGGGCACTGACCCTAAACCCTAAACCCCCAAACCCCTAAACCCCCCTAAACCCCCAAACCCCAAACCCTAAACCCTATACGGGGGGACAACCAAGGAAGGAAATCAACTCCCCTAATCGCCCTGAACTTATATTTCCCAGATCGAACCAAGAAACAACCAAGAACACGGATAAGAGCAACAAGGAAGGGGCACCCTTACACAAGTAGAGGGGCACTAACCCAACCCTCACTCCCAAACACGGACTTTTTTCTTTGGACGGGCTGGCCATCCTTGAGCCAAACATAGTTTACGGGTTCATTAACCCTTTCAACTTCCAACACTAACTCCTTTCTACAATACCAATTGCAGCTCCGCACTCCCCCTGTCCTAGGATTTCCTAGGACACATTGGAGATGCAGGTCTTTTGGCCAAAAACTGCCATTAAGGCAGCAGCCAGCTGCTTGAAATGCAAGTTGTGGTTTAACGTCTTCCAGGACTGAATTATAGCACGTTGGCTAACCTACCACCCATAGAGAATCTTTTTTCACCATGATCCTCTCATCACTGAAGACTCCTTGGCCTTCTTCACCACAAACCGTGGTCTTCGCTACGCGAAAAGCTACTTACTTCTACTATCAGGGATTTCCATACCCTTAATAGTAACCACCACATTGTCAGCACATTGGCTGTTCCAGCGCACCCGTCTCCAGAAAGAGAAAAACTATCCCTTCATCCATACCATCCAATCACTTCTTTTTCCGATTGTTGGCAATCTTGAGGTGAAGTTGCAGCAGAATATACTCCAGGTCCGAAACTGTAAGAA